CGGAGCCGTGCTAGCAGACGGCGAGCAGGAGGGCACCGCGTCCCTAGGGCGGGCGGAAGTGCCCACCGGGTGCTCAGGACTGACCTCGCTGCTCGCTCCTCTCTGCCCTCAGGGTAGCAGGCAGCTGCAGGAGAAGTCCCTGAAAATTTCCTCTACGCTGTATGTTGGCAACCTGTCCTTCTACACTACCGAGGAGCAGATCCAGGAGCTCTTCTCCAAGTGTGGAGATGTCAAGAGGATAGTCATGGGGCTGGACAAGATCAAGAAAACTCCCTGCGGCTTCTGCTTTGTCGAGTATCCTTTCTGGTTCCCTGCTTCTGTCAGACCTTGTGTCACCTTCAGTTCCTCCGTTCCTCTCCGCACAGTACGCTTAGCTGTACTGCTCTGGAAAACCTGCAAAGGAGCGACAGTTGAGTGCTTTTTGTCAGGCGCTTTCCTTCCAACCTTGATACTTCCCTAACTGAGAGACGGACTGTTGCAGCCGTGCTGTAGGTGAAAAGTGCTACTACTGCTGTACTTTCAGGAGGCAGCAGAGAGCTTCTTCAAATTGTTAATTTCTTTAGTGATTTTAGGGCCAAAATGAGAAGTGTTACCATGGTCAACCCAAGCTCTGCCAGGCCAATGCATATTTTCTCCTTTTCACCTTAACGTTACATCTGAATGAAGTCAATGAATGCACTAATCCCAAGCACAGCGTATCCGCTTACACAAGTTGTATTGTGAGCTGTCTTTGCAAAGCCCTCCTGTGAGGCCTGCCCCACTTGTTCAAATCCAGTCAAGTTTCATGTGGTATAAAAAGGCATATTACAGATTTCTTGCCCTTAGCAACGCTGTAACATGTTTTTTTTTTATCTACTTGTGAAATAAGTGATCCAAAGCTACTTCTTGTCTGTGCAGGTACTAACATTTCCCTGTCCCTAAGAAAATAGCAGGCTTTGTTCTCCTTATGGCGTGCTTCAGGTACTACACACGAGCAGATGCGGAGCATGCCATGCGGTTTATCAACGGCACACGCCTGGATGACCGCATCATTCGGACTGACTGGGATGCAGGGTTTAAGGAGGGGCGACAGTATGGAAGAGGAAAGACTGGAGGACAGGTAAAGGCAATACCAGTTCATACCTTGAATTTGATCCCTTTAAGACTGTGTACTGGTTTGGTTGCTTTGTCTAATATAGAGGAATGTGTAGACCTTAGAAGACAAGATAATGAACTTTAGCCACTTCCAGGTTGTTTTTGTAACTGATGCCTGGTGTTAAAAGCTAGAAACAGAAGTTAAGGCCGTTTCTGTCTCAGACTCCAAACTTCCCACAAGGGAAACAGAATCTTCCTTAATCTAAGCTAATACTCTTAAAATGGCGCAGAGTTTGAGTGGAGTGGTACAGCATAACTGCTTGACCAATCTCATATCCCAGCAGCTTGCCCCAGTGAGAAGGTGAGGTTCCTTTGCAGTTTTCCAGGGTGGAGGGCAGAAAATGTTCTGAAGGGCCAAGCCTGGCAATTCAGACTGCAAAGCTGAATGAAAATATTTTGGGGTCTTTGCTTCTTGTCTAAAAGACTTCAGCCATCAGATGATCCTCATTTGTCATTTTCACCACCATTACCACCTTTTTGGTGGATTATTTGAAGAGATTTCAAATGAGTCAAAGTGCTTCTAACCTGAACTTCAGTTCCCCACCAACTGAACAAGGAGGGGATAATGGTTCTGAAGTCTAGCAGGACACAGGAGGCAGTGCAGGGTACTAATACTGTGTTACTGCTGTGCCCTAGGTGCGAGATGAGTACCGGACAGACTACGATGTGGGAAGAGGTGGCTTTGGCAAGATCATCCAGATGCAGAAGGCAAATCATCAGCCTGCAATCTATTAATTGCCTTGTGGGTCCTAGCTCACAGAGGGCTCTGTCCTTCCAAAGTTCTTGCATTTTGGATTGGGGTAGAGAGGGAGATCCAAGTCCCAGCGAAAGGTGACCCTCCTTAGGCTGTGGATATACGTGTATTCATTCCCCCTTCCTTCTGGGCTAAAGAGGATATTCTGTGAGGGCAACAAGGGAAAAAATAGATGGACAGCTCTGCAGGATTCTGGGTAAGAAGAAATGCAGCATGTTACACACACCTTGTGCTATGAAACACTCTTCACACTGCACCTAAGCAGGTGGCTTCCTCCAAGCTGTGATTGCAGCCATGGTTGCTCTCAAATGGAACTTCTTAAAAGCTTACCACCACTGGAGCCCTTCAGGTGCCGTGTCACCTTGTGGGGATGCACAAGAAATTCAGTTTTCTATTTTACAACCTCATCTCCTCACAAAGCAGTATTGCTGTTTGGATGAGAGAATTGAAACAAAGTCTTATCATCCGCTTGGAGGTGGGTGTCTGCACATGTAACCCATGGGTTGATCAGGGCCTGCAGAGCATTTCTCTTTGATACCCCCAGTGCTGCCTGGCTTTTCAGATCCTCAATGTTTTGTGTGATTTTGTTAAAAGTTTATTTTCATTTTTTAAATAAACAGTTGTATTGGGTCTGGCTGAGATGGAATCAATATTCCCCCTAGCAGTCCTCATAGTGCTGTGCATATCGGTAGCTAAAAAGGCGTAGATGACACACCAGCATTTTGGCTGCTGCTGAGCAGTGCTCTCACAGCATCAAGGCTGTTTCCCTTACTCACCAACTAGGCTGGGGGTGGACAAGATCTCGGGAGGAAACAGAGCCACCTCAGCTGATCCAGACTGACCAAAGGGATATTCCATACCATATGGCATCTACTCAGCAGTAAAAGCTAAGAGAAAGGAGTGGGGTTGGGGAGGCATTCATTATTATGACATTCAGCTTCCAGAGCAACTGCTTCAGCTGCTGAAGCCCTACTGCTGGGAAGTGGCTGGACATCGCCTGCTGATGAGAAGTAGAGAATAAATCTTTTGTTTTCCTTTGCTTCTGTGTGCAGCCCTTGCTTTTGGCTTATTAAACTGCCTTTATCTTGACCCACGAGTTCTTTTCCATCTTATGTTCTCTGCCTCTATGCTGCTGAGGAGGGGAGTGAAACAGTGGCTTGGTGGGCACCTGGTGCCCAACCAAGGTCAACCCATCACAGTTCTTTTTGGTGCCCAACGTGGGGCATGAGACAGTGGCAGTTTTGTATTAAGCATGCTATAGCTATAGTAGTTATTAAGTTGCAAGCCTCTGTGCAGCTCACAGAGGTTATTGTCTGCACTGCTTATCTTTATTATGCTGAGCTTGGGAACGTGTTAGTACAAAAAACACCTATGTGGTTTGCCCTGGAATTGGTTGTGTTGTGGGAGCAATCTTGTGGAGGACATGAGGGAGTACATCACCCTTTTCCTGCCTGGGCTTGATGTGGGTGGTTTTATTACACAGGCTCATTAAGTCCTTGTTCACCCTTATGTGAGCTGCTTATACTACTAAACAATGCTGTTGGCATATGGATTTTGTGGAATGGTGTTGTCATGGTGTAAGAGAAGACAACTTTTGGGTGAGATGATACTGAAATAAGCCTTGAGATGTCTGGTTCCTGGATGGCAGAGTGTGTGGAAGTATTGGGGCAGTTGCCTGGGATGGCTATCACCTCCCATAGCCTGGGACTTCATACCTGAACAGGCAAACAACCCTGGGAACTGGACACACCACCTGATAGAAGGGTGCCTTTCCTAGCCCAGTGAAAATCAGCAGTTTGTAGCACTGACCTGGGGCTTGGTCTGTCCCTGCTGATCCACAGTTCAGTACTGTTAGAGAACTGTGGTTAAGGCAGGAACCCAAACCTCCTCTGAAAATACCTTAACAAGAGAATGGGGTACAAACTACATCTGAAGACATGATACTGGAGATAGGGACCCAAACAACAACTACAACTGCCACAGTAGTGAAAAAGAAACAGTGGACAAGGAGGTCTGTGGGTCCATATCTTCAGTCAGTTAGGAGGAAGAAGAGGAAGAGTTGATCAAGAAGCTTGGCTTTCAGCAAAGAAGCCTGAGGAATGTGGTGGTTTAGCCTTGGCACCACATGGCCGCTCACTCACCCCCCCACTTCCCCTCAAACAGGAGGGAGAGGGAGAAAAGGGAGAAACATACAAAACCCTGTGGGTTGAGGTAAAGGGAGTTTAAGACAACGATGCAGCAGGAACAGTAAACAACAGCAGTAAGAATATCTATATAACAAAGGGTACAAGGAAAGAGATCACCACGTGGGCTCCAGGCCACTCGGCCCAGCCTGGCCCTGCTGCCCAGGCACGGGGTCAGCCTGGCAGCAAGTGACCCCCGGCTGGGCCGGCTGGGCCCGCCCACAGCTCCTGCCTGGCTTGGGGGAAAACAACCCGAGTGCCCAGCCAGGACATTCCACCCCTTATTCGATACCACCTACGTCATGCCCAGCAGTTATTTAACAATTAGCAACACACAGTTTAATTCACTGGCTGTTCTCGCCCAGAATTAAGTCCCCTTACGGTACACATCGGACTGAAGCACAGCTCCTCCTGGCGCCGCGATTACCAGTGCTAGGCTGGATGTTCAAGGGGAAGTTCCCTTCCACTCATCATGCCACTGATGCTACATGCAGTAAATGGCTTGGAAATAAGTAAATTGGAGCTTGGAGCTCAATAGGGCATCACAATCACCCAGGAATCTTAGAAGTGATGATGGATTGGCCAGAAGGTAAAGCCTTTGGAATGCCACCAGAAGAGGTAGTGACACGTGCTGAAGAAGCCCCACCATATAATTATCAGATAATGATAAGCAATATGCTCTGTTTACTGATGGATCTTGCCATCTTCTAGGAACTCACCAGAAGCAGAAGACTGCTGTGTGGAGTCCCACACGATGAATCACAGAAGCAGCTGAAGGAGAGGGTGAGTCAAGTCAGTTTGCAGAAGTAAAAGCCACCCAGCTGACCTTGGACATTGCTGAGTGAGAGCAGTGGCCAGTGCTCCATCTCTACACTGACTCATGGATGGCAGCAAATGATTTGTGGGGGTGGCTGAAACAGTGGAAGCAGAATAACTGTCAATGCCAAGGGAAACCTATTTGGGCTGCCACGCTGCCCAAATACAAGACATTGCTGCTTAGCTGGAGAAACTAGTTATAAAAGTACATCACATAGATGTCCATGTACCTAAAAGTCGGGCCACTGAGGAACACCAGAACAACCAGCAAGTGGATCAAGCTGCTAAGGTGTTCCAAACAGACTGAGACTGGGAACATTAAGGTGAACTATTTTTAGCTCAGTGGGCCCATGACACCTCAGGCCCCCAGGGGAGAGATGCGACACGGGCTGGTGCCCGAGGGGTGGATTTATCCATGGACGCTATCGCACAGGTTATCCACGACTGGGAAACGTGCGCCGCAATCAAACGAGCTAAACGGTTAAAGCCTCTGTGGTGTGGGGGACGATGGTCACAATATAGGTATGGGGAGGCCTGGCAGATTGATGACATGACACTCCCTCAAACCCGCCAGGGGAGCACTACATGCTTACAATGGTGGAAGCAACCACTGGATGGCTGGAAACCTCTCCAGTACCCCACGCCATCGCCCGGAATGCCATCCTGGGCCTGGAAAAGCAGAGCCTGTGGTGACATGGTACTCCAGAAAGAATTGAGTCAGACAATGGGGCTCATTTCAAAAACAATCTTATAGACAATTGGGCTAAGGAACATGGTATTGAGTATCACATCCACTATCATGCACCAGCCTCTGGGAAAACTGAATGATACAATAGGCTGCTAAAAACTACTCCAAAAGCAATGGGGAATGGAACCTTTAAAAACTGGGACAAGCATTTAGCACAAACCACCTAGTTAGTTAACACCAGAGGATCCATCAGTCAAGCCAGCCCTGCTCAATCAGACCCTTTACATACAGTAGAAGGGGATAAAGTCTCTGTGGTGTATGAAAGGAATTTGTTGGGGAAAACTGTGAGTATTCTCTGGTTCAGGCAAAGGCAAACCCGTCCGTGGGGTTGCTTTCGCTCAAGGACCTGGACATACTTGATGGGTGATGATTAAAGATGGTGAAGTACAATGTGTACCTCAAGGAAATCTAACTCTGGATGAAAATACACCATTTTAAAGCCACATGTTAATTGCAGAATAGTAACAGTGTTCTGCAAGTGTCTTTCAGGATAACATCATAATGGTGACAGGAGCCAGCTTCATCAAGCGATGTCCAGTAACATTCTGAGATGAATCTGCAACCTGTGGATGCAAACCATCATGAACTCCATAGCATCTTTCCTGCCCTGGGAGACTGCTATGATAGATGGAAATCTGCAATCATGAACTTAATTAACTTTTCTATAGAAAGAAATTATAATCTAGTGATAGATATTACGTAAATGGTATGGAAAAAGGGGTGGGTTGTCCTGGTTTGGGGTACAACAGAGCTGGTTCTGTTCAGTGATTCTCGTTTTCAGCTAAAGCTCTCCTAATTAACTGCACTGTCTGAGGTTGGCAGCACATTTTTGCAGTGATAACACTCCATGTTCAGAGTTACTACCAAGGATTGGTGTGCAGACCAAGGCTAGTGCTAAGCTTGTATATCACACAGAGGGAGGCAGAAAGTAAAGCCGCACCTGCAGGTACGAGCAGACAAGACAAGAGTGACCCTAAAATTCACCAGTGAGGTATTCCAGCCCATAACCTTAATTTTCAGTATAAAAGCTGAAGAATCACGGGGGTCAAAGACCCTTCTATCTCCCTTCCTCACTTTTGCTGCTCCTTTAATGGCCAACATCTGAGGAGGACTTCATCCATTCTGCCTTTGATCCCAACCTGTCTGTTTCTGAACCAAATTCCAGAATCCAACTCCTGTACCCAGGACTTGTCCCTGGGGCCTGCTCCCCAGCATCAGGGGTGATAGTGACATATTGCCATCGGGGGGGTATATATAAATATATACTGGTTTTGTATATATTCCATTTTATTATTATTGTTAGTAGTAGTAGTATTAAAGCTTTTTCACTTTTCTAATTGATAAGTCCCTCTCCCTTA